CCCGGACTCTTTTTATTCCAAAATCCATATTCATAGACGATGGCGAGGTGGATGGGGTCCAGGACAAGCGACTGCATGCGAGGACATATGTCCTTCAGATGGTTGAATAGTTTAGGGTTTCAGGTTTAAAGTAGTGCAGGGTTTAGGTTTTAGGGTTTAGGGTTCAGGGTGTAAGGTTTAGGGTTGAGAATTTAGAAATCCTAAACCCTAAACCCTAAACCGTAGGGCATCAGGTTTGAGCCTGTACGAGCTAGCACTTAAGGTCTAGCGCGTAAGGCTTAAGATCCAAAGGGCGGGGTCAGGGTGGAGCGCAGCTCCACCTAAAACCGTCCGAGCAAAAACGCTCATACAGGCACCTACATGACTGGAATAGGCGTGTTTTAACCACATGGGCTTAGAGTTATCGGTCTTGGGGTGTAGGGTTTGGGTGTATCTGGGGGTTCAAAGGTCCATTGTTTGAAGAAAAATTTTAGTTTTTATTACAGAATTGTAACTTTTTTTGTAGGGTCTGGAGTTCATTTTGAACCGTCAGCCTTAAATCTTAAGCCCTAAACCCTCAACCCTAAACCCCCCCAAACCCTACACCCCCCTTGAAACTAAACTCTAAACCCTAAACCCTAACCCCCTAAACCGTAAACCCATGAACTCAACCTCCGCAGTCATGCACTGGCCATGAACCCTCAAGTTGTCTCGGAGACTCCAAATTCCCCCTTAATTCAAGAAAATCATACCTTAGAGTAAATTCAGGATACCTCAAGAACTTACGGATATTCCTTAATCAAAAGGTTTCGGATATACCTTTTATTCTGAGAAGGATACCTCAACAACTTAAGTTATAACCTTTCATTATGGATTTTGCAGTCTCTGCGATGAAAGCCAAGGGACCGATCACCACGTGCTGCGCGAAGCCTCGCTTCTTCAATGACCGGGTTTAAGGTTTAGGGCTTTCCAAGGTAAGCCAAGTACATAAAACCAAAAACTTCAAGCTTTCCGAGATAAACCATATACATGAGCACGAAAAATCCAGGCTTTCGAAGAGAGACCAAGCATATGAGCCCAAAGAGTTCAAACTGCCTAAGATAGACCATACTTGTATATGACAAAATAGTTCAGACCGTTGAAGATAGACCAAAACCCTAGACCCTAAAAACCCGAAGTTCTCCTATCCTATAGCTTTAACCCATAAACCCTCAACCTTTAAAGTTGCCCCATTGGTTGTCCGAGAAGCTCTTGGCCACCGCCGCCGCTGCTTCGTGGAGAATCTCCACTAGAGTCAACAGACATTTTGCCTTACTTACAGTTCAAGGTTTAGAGTTCCTTTTGATGGTTCCTCCAAGGGGTTTAGGGCGCATGGTTCCGGAGGGGTTTAGGGTTTAAGGTGGGTTCTTTTTAAGGGTTAGTGGAGTTAGTGGTAGTGGTGTAGGAAACCAGGAAAACGTGTTGCCGCCCACACTCGTGCCGCCCCGCATCTCAGGGCAGCTCCGCAAATGTCACAGCCGCCCTCCGCGGAGGGTTCAAAAAGGGGTAACAATGCAGCCAAGGCGCGAGGAGAAGGGGGGGGAGACAGAAGGGGGAGGGAACCCGGGTTCAGGCTGACACCGACCGGCTGTGCTGCCAAGGACGGTAATGTTGGCGGCCAATATAGGCCATTGGCAAATAAACATGTCGAGCAAACATGCCGACGCAAACATGTCGTAAACCCAGGCTGCGACGCGAACAGCTGAGGCCACGGCAGGAAAAACATCGAGACAAACAGGCCTAGACAAACATGCCCATGGTTTCAAGACACGCCAGTGTCGTACAAGCGAGCCTTTTAAACATGCAACCAGCGCTACGGCAGGGCCGGAGTGCTACAAACACATGCTTAGGGTAAAGCGTGGGACCTACAGAATTAAGCGTGGCTGTGTCGGGTCCAGTGCGACGAGTCAAATGTGCCGAAGCAAAAATGCTGAGTAAACATGGCGAGAATAGGTGGCCAAGGTAGCCCCCAGTCAGGGCAGTCTGGCAGTGGGCCAGACATGCGAAGTTACCATACCCAAGCCAAACTTGTGCACAAACTGAGAAATACCTAGGCAGCAAGGGAGCGCAGCACATTCCGATGACCGGACGGGAAGAACTCAGCACACGAGGAGCAAGAAGTCAAACAAGTCCAAAACCCGAAATACTACAAGCGGGGCAGCAGGGCAACCTAGCCAAACAGAGGCACGACTAAGACGAAGTCCCAAAAAAACAAGTAAAGGGGAAGGGGGCCCTGCAACCCTGGAGAACTTGGCTGCTGTAAGGCAGGCTCGGAACAGAAAGACTGCTGCAGCGGAGCTTCTCCGAGTATGCACGCCGAGGCAAAAGCCCAGCTGACCAAACCTTAAACAGACCAAACCCAAACAAGAACCCCAAAGACCAAGCCGCGGCTGACGACGCCCAAACAAAGCCCAAGCTCAGGCACTCAAGGCTGTTTTAGCTTACGTTCACCAGAGTGCTTCAGGCAGTTTAGAGAGCTCACACAGAAGCCACTCCACTATGTAAGCCTCTAAGCTGAGGCAAGGGTACGCCCAATGCCGCACCGGGCCAGAGCGGAGCCAGCAAGCGCACTAAAACTTGTCCCCAGCGGAGGGCTGCAGGTTGCTCCAGAGGAGACGTCCTCGATCGGCGAAGCAGTAGGTTCAGGCCCCCGTACAAATACGAGAACACGAGTGAGGCTCGCTCTGAGATTCCACGCCACAATGTTTGGCCAAAAGGTGCTGAAACCCCATAGCCCCGACAAAGCTTTGAGCAGAGGCATCCAAGCCGGCTCCCGAGCAATCTCAAGGATACAGGAACGAGCTTCCCAAGCGGCTGAGACAGGAATAGGGATGCTGGTGGTGGTGGAGCCTACTGCCAACCGGGAAATCCGTGCACCTTTTTCGCAAGAGCTGCACCGACCTGCCGGGTTGCCAGCCGCTTCAGGAGGTCGTTCTGCTGCTGGATGAGCTGGTCGTGTTCCTGCTCGGCGACAAGCCACGGTTTTGCTGCAAGCTTCAAGGCTGCAAGGAAGGCTCCAGGGCTCATCTTGCCTGGCTTCTGACTGCAGCACCCACAGTTTCATACTTATGAGATGAAGCCGGTGACAAAAAATCTCCAGGCGAATAACAGACCGAGCACTACCACGACGACAATGACACTCCTCCTCCTTCTCGCACTACTACTACTGTGCTGCTGTTGTTACTGCTAATTCTGCTGTTGCTGTGCATGCTGTTGTTGATGGGTAATGTTGTTTTCTTTTGAAATTTGAGCTTTGCAGACATCGGGTGGAAGCTCTGTAACCTCCCCAGCCAAAGCACTAGCGACCAGTGCTTCGCCAATAGAAATAGGATCCCACGTGAGCCAGCCGACCAGTGCCCTGGAGGGACGGCAGCAGCACCAAAGATGGGACGGTGAGGGACGGCAGCCAGCCTCCCGAGTTGCGGAGCACCAGCATAAGCCGAAATGACACTTTGAGCAAGAGCACCTGCCAAGCCAGCGGGGCGAGCCACCTCGCTGAGGTGCGGAATGGCGTTCTCCACCTCATCGGCGCCCGGGACGATGAACCGATTATGCAATGCTGGGACTTCTCGGGAGAGCTCCGCCATGCCGGCTGCGTGATAAACGACATGGACATAGCCGGGAGCCACAATCGGGGTACTGGCAGCAGCGCCGCTCAGTACGCACGCACGAGAATTGCGGGTTACCTCTGCGGATATGGGGACCATGTCGAGCGCAGGTGAAGCCTCGCTGAACCCGCGCCCTGATAAGCTGTGTCTGACAGCGCGGGTGAGAGCATAACAGAACCATGTGCGATGTGCCAGGCCCGGTAGGCGCGGCCCGGAGCAAGTAAGAGGAGCGAGCCAGCCAACGGCTGAGGCAAACGAGCAGGAGGCAAAAGAAAATCAGGCCGGACAGGGGGAAGAGATGAGCGACCGAAGCGGAGCAAGGGAAACAAGGGAGAACTGGGAACGAAAACGAACCTCAAGAGGACCCGCGAGCAGAGAAGGGAAGGTATAAACAGGCGAAGAAAAGGGGAAAGAGTGGGCCGGCGAAATACTAGCCACCGTCGCCCAGAGGCAAGAAGGGGAGTTGAAGTAGGCGGATGAAGGAGAAGAGGGGAACTGTGGGCCGGCTCAATCCGTGCGCACTATCGCCCAACGCTTCGCAGAGATGAAAGATCAAACTCAGCACAGTGGACGAGAAAGTAAACTGTGGAGAGTAGGCCGGCTAAATACTAACCACCGTCGCCCGACAGGCAAGAAGGAGAGCTGAAGTGGAGGGATAAAGGAGAAGCGGAGAGCCGTGGGGGTCAGTGGGAATTGTGGGCCGGCAGCCCTATCGCCCATCGCTTCGCAGAGAAGAAAGGGAAAGAAGTGAGCACAGTGGATGAGAAAGTAAGTCGGAGAGAGCGAGAGTTGGCCGGGGTCGGGAGGAGTCAGGTATCGGCGGGGCCGCACAGGGGAAAGAGAGGAGGTGAGCAAGCAACAATGCAACTGGAGTGCGTAGTTGGCGAGAGTTGGGCCACGGTCACCTTATGGTGCGCAGCATCTGCCCGTTCGCAGCGAGCGGCCGCGGTGTGAGAATGCTGTGCATTGAGCTGCTTTTTTGTTGTTGTGCTCTGCAGCTGAAGCCCCACCAAACCGGCAAGTGAGTGAACGGCCGGCGGGGGCCCAAACAGGAAAAAAAAACACCCCACGGCAGCAACAGCAAAAAAAAAACACCCGTTCCCTTAAAGAACCCTTACAAGGAGCCTAATGTAGCGGCCTTCATAATTAGAATAGGGTTTAGGGAGTTCTTTATCATAACTACGGTATAAAGAACCTTTACAACAAGCCTATGAAATTGAAACCCAGTCGCCGGAGACTCGATCCACTCCATAGCCCTAAACCCTAAATCATAGACCCTAAACCCTGCCCTAAACTCTGAACCCTGAACCCTAAACCCTTAACCCTACACCCTAAACCCCTGAACCCTAAACCCTAAACCCTAAACCGAGTCGCCGGAGACTCGAACCACTCCGTAGCCTCGAAGTCCCGAATGCGCAGCACCACCCTTTCAGGCTTCTCCTTGCTGTCTAGGGCCATGCTTATACTAGGGAGCCCTAGTGTTTAGGGTTTAGGGTTTAGGGTTTAGGGTTTAGGGTTTAGGGTTTAGGGCTGATGATATAAGTCCTGCATTACCCATAATAAGGAATATACCACAATTCCCATAGATTAGGGTCCTTAAGGTAATGCAAGGTTTATATCATCAACAGTAGGGTTTAGGGTTAAGGGTTGGATGTAGGGGCCTTAATAATTAGAACAGAATTTGCGGTGTATATTTTACTATACTTTTAATCAGGAACCCCCAAAATAGTATTGGTAATCATTTAAGCCCTTACATTAGGGTTCAGGGGGCTTCAGGGTGGTCCAGGGATAAGGATTCAGGGTTCAGGGGTTTAAGGCTCCAGGGTGGTTTTAGGGCATTTTGGGGTTTGGGGTTTGGGGTTTGGGGGTTTAGGCCTTTAAGGGCTTTAAGGGCTCTGGGCCTTTTTGCTCACCCTTCCGGACTTCTCTTTGAGTTTTGAGGGCGCAGGTATAATTACACAAAGGAACCCGGAGAACGGCTCTTCTAACGGGTTCCGTCCAGGCTTTCTTTAATGGCAACTATAACAATGTAGCTTTTCCTGTAAAGAGTTCATGCCTAAGCTCTTAAAACCCAAACCCTAAACCCTAAACCCTAAAACCTACACCCTAACATATGATAAGGAAACCTCCGGAAAAAAATCTCACTGTTGGGGACTTGGGGCTTTGCGGGATTTAGGGGTTTAATGTAGGGACCTTAATATTTAGAATAAAGCTTTGGGCTCCTGTATAGAAGAAAAAACAACAATGTTGGTAACTCATAAGGTTTAGGGTTTAGGGTTTAGGGGAACATCAACAATGTTGGTCATTCACAAGGAGGAGGGTTTAAGGGAAACTGTGGTTGTACAGGTGTTTTCTGCTTTGGATTTAAAGAGTTGTTCGGGCTTTTACGGCTAGCGTTCTTTGGTTGAGGGGTTTAGGGCTTTTGGGTTTAGGGCTTTGGGCTTTGAGTGGTTTCGGGTCTAGGGCTTAGGATTTCTTGTGGATTAAACCCTAAACCCTAAACCCTAAACCCTAAACCCTAAACCCTAAACCCTAAACCCTAAACCCTAAACCCTAAACCCTATTTAAAACGT